CCGCCCCATTCTCCCTCTTTCCATCACCCCACCCCATTCTCCCTCTTTCCATCACCCCGCCCCATTCTCCCTCTTTCCATCACTCTGCCCCATTCTCCCAATTTCCATCACCCCGCCCCATTCTCCCGCTTTCCATCACTCCGCCCCATTCTCCCGCTTTCCATCACCCCGCCCCATTCTCCCTCTTTCCATCACCCTGCCCCATTCTCCCGATTTCCATCACCCCGCCCCATTCTCCCGCTTTCCATCACCCCGCCCCATTCTCCCGCTTTCCATCACCCCGCCCCATTCTCCCACTTTCCATCACCCCGCCCCATTCTCCCTCTTTCCATCACCCCGCCCCATTCTCCCTCTATCTATCACCCCACGCAATTCTCCCGCTTTCCATCACCCCGCCCCATTCTCTCGCTTTCCATCACCCTGCCTCATTCTGTCTCCTGCTTTCCATCACCCCGCCCCATTCTCCCTTTCCATCACCCCGCCCCATTCTCCCAATTTCCATCACCCCGCCCCCTTCTCCCGCTTTCCATCACCCCGCCCCATTCTCCCGCTTTCCATCAACCCGCCCCATTCTCCTGCTTTCCATCACCCCGCCCCATTCTCCCTCTTTCCATCACCCCGCCCCATTCTCCCGCTTTCCATCACCCCGCCCCATTCTCCCGCTTTCCATCACCCTGCCCCATTCTCCCGCTTTCCATCACCCCACCCCATTCTCCCGCTTTCCATCACCCCGCCCCATTCTCCCTCTTTCCATCACCCCGCCCCATTCTCCCGCTTTCCATCACCCCGCCCCATTCTCCCTCTTTCCATCACCCCGCCCCATTCTCCCTCTTTCCATCACCCCGCCCCATTCTCCCAATTTCCATCACCCCGCCCCATTCTCCCGCTTTCCATCACCCCGCCCCATTCTCCCGCTTTCCATCACCCCGCCGCACTCTCCCGCTTTCCATCACCCCGCCCCATTCTCCCTCCTTCTTGGTTGGGGACAGTGTGGCACTGTTCCCTATCACTGTAGCTCGGTTCTTGGGGTTTGTAGGAGCTGGGAGTCCTTCCCAACTCGTAACTCTTCCTAGCTGTTCGTAACTTGTGTTCTAAGACTATGTTGCTGCCATAGTGCCGTTCGTTCAAACCGACGCTGTGTCGTCAATTCTTAATAAATCGTGCGATCTAAAATGCTTATTGTAGGGCACGTTAAGGCGCTCCAGATCCAAGTTGAATGAGGTCAATTGGAGCTGTGTTCAGATCGCTATGATCGTTTAAATATGCTGTGCAGAAATCTGACTGCGCACTCTATCTTTGGTTCTAGGCCCATTGAAGCCTATTGGAGCCTAGTGTGATTATAACAAATGGGGCGAGGTGATGGAAAGCGGAAACATGTTGTGGGGTGGGGTGATGGAAAGCGGGAGAATGGGGCGAGGTGATGGAAAGTTGGAGAATGGGGCGGGGTGATGGAAAAAGGGCGAATGGGGCCTGGTGATGGAAAGAGGGAGAATGAGGCGGGGTGATAGAAAGTTGAAGAATGGGGTGGGGTGGATGAAAAGAGGCGAATGAGGCGGGGTGATGAAAAGAGGGAAATGGGGCGGGTGATGGAAAGTGGGAGAACAGGGTGGGGTGATGGAAAGCGGGAGAATGGGGCGGGGCGATGGAAAGCGGGAGAATGAGGCGGGGTGATCGAAACAGGGAGAATGGGGCGCGGTGATGGAAAGAGGAAGAACAGGGCGGGTGATGGAAAGAGGGAGAGAGGGGGGGACGGGGTGATGGAAAGCGGGAGAATGGGGCGTATATGGAAAGCGGGAGAATGTGGCGGGTGATGGAAAGAGGGAGAATGGGGCGGGTAATGGAAAGAGGGCGAATGGGGTGGGGGCCATGGAGAGAGGGAGAATGGAGTGGGGTGATGGAAAGCGGGAGAATAGGGCGGGGTGATGGAAAGAGGGAGAATGGGGCGGGGTGATGGAAAAAGGAGAATGGGGTGGGGTGATGGAAAGTTGAAGAATGGGGCGGGGTTGATGGAAATTTGAAGAATGGGGCGGGGTGATAGAAAGAGGGAGAATGGGGCGGGGTGATGGAAAGCGGGAGAATGGGGCGGGTGATGGAAAGCGGGAGAATGGGGCGGGGTGATGGAAAGTGGGAGAATGGGGCGGGGTGATGGAAAGAGGGAGAATGGGCGGGTGATGGAAAGAGGGAGAATGGGCGAGTGATGGAAAGCGGGAGAATGGGGCGGGGTGATGGAAAGCGGGAGAATGGGGCAGGGTGATGGAAAGAGGGATAATGGGGGCGGGTGATGGAAAGCGGGAGAATGGGGCGGGGTGATGGAAAGAGGGAGAATGGGGCGGGGATGGAAAGAGAGATAATGGGGCGGGGTGATGGAATGCGGGAGAATGGGGCGGGGTGATGGAAAGCGGCAGAATGGTGCGATGTGATGGAAAGAGGGAGAATGGGGCAGGGTGATGGAAAGAGGGAGAATGGGGCGGGGTGATGGAAAGCGGGAGAATGGGGCGGGGTGATGGAAAGAGGGAGAATGGGGCGGGTGATGGAAAGAGGGAGAATGGAGCGGGGTGATGGAAAGCAGGAGAATGGGGCGGGGTGATGGAAAGCGGGAGAATGGGGCGGGGTGATGGAAAGAGGGAGAATGGGGCGGGGTGATGGAAAGAGGGAGAATGGGGCGGGGTGACGAAAAACGGAAGAATGGGGGCGGGGGTGATGGAAAGCGGGAGAATGGGGAGGGGCGATGGAAAGAGGAGAATGGGGCGGGCCGTGGAAAGCGGGAGAACGAGGCGGGGTGATGGAAAGAAAAAGAATGGAGCGGGGTGATGGAAAGCGGGAGAATGGGGCGGAGGGTTGGAAAGAGGGAGAATGGGGCGGGGTGATGGAAAGCGGGAGAATGGGGCGGGGTGATGGAAAGAGAGAGATGGGGCGGGGTGATGGAAAGCGGGAGAATGGGGCAGGGTGATGGAAAGCGAGAGAATGGGGCGGGGTGATGGAAAGAGGGAGAATGGGGCAGGGTGATGGAAAGAAGGAGAATGGGGCGGGGTGATGGACAGAGGGAGAATGGGGCGGGTTGATAGGCAGAGGGAGAATGGGGCGGGGTGATGGAAAGAGGGAGAATGGGGCAGGGTGATGGAAAGTGGGAGAATGGGGCGGGGTGATGGAAAGCAGGAGAATGGGGCGGGGCGATAGAAACCAGAGAATGGGGCGGGGTGATGGAGAGCGGGAGAATGGGGCGGGGTGATGGAGAGCGGGAGAATGGGGCGGGACGATGGAAAGTTGGAGAATGGGGCGGGGTGATGGAAAGCGGAGAATGGGGCGGGGTGATGGAAAGCGGGAGAATGGGGCGGGGTGATGGAAAGCGGGAGACGGGCGGGGTGATGGAAAGCGGGAGAATGGGGCGGGGTGATGGAAAGCGGGAGAATGGGGCGGGGTGATGGAAAGCGGGAGAATAGGGCGGGGTGATGGAAAGAGGGAGAATGGGCCGGGGTGATGGAAAGAGGGAGAATGGGGCGGGGTGATGGAAAGCTGGAGAATGGGGCGGGGTGATGGAAAGAGGGAGAATGGGGCGGTTGATGGAAAGAGGGAGACCGGGGCGGGTGATGGAAAGAGGGAGAATGGGGCGGGGTGATGGAAAAGAGCGAGAATGGGGCGGGGTGATGGAAAGCGGGAGAATAGGGCGGGGTGATGGAAAGCAGGAGAATGGGGCGGTGTGATGGAAAGCGGGAGAATGGGGCGGGGTGATGGAAAGCGGGAGAATGGGGCGGGGTGATGGAAAGAGGGAGAATGGGGCGGGGTGATGGAAAGCGGGAGAATGTGGCGGGGTGATGGAAAGCGGGAGAATGGGGCGGGGTGATGGAAAGCGGGAGAACGGGGCGGGGTGATAGAAAGGGAGAACGGGGCGGGGTGATCGAAACAGGGAGAACGGGACGCGGTGATGGAAAGAGGAAGAACGGGGCGGAGTGATGGAAAGAGAGGAGAGGGGGGGGGTGGGGTGATGGAAAGAGGGAGAATGGGGCGGGGAGGGGCTGACATCCTCTTCTCCAAGGGTCCCACGACGGCCATGCTGGCCAGGTCCCTTTTTCTCTTAGACAAATCTAGTAGTTCTCCCATAGCGACGTTTCGGGCGACACAACAAAGAAGACTCGTTCTATGAGGGAAAAACTTCTAAATCCAAATCAATGCTCTGTGATTTGTGACTCTGATGCTCTGTCAACGAAGGCTCACTGTATGAGGGATAATCTCGACGACGAGGATCCGTTTTGAGGAATGTCGACGACGGGCGGTGAATGGGAGGGCGACGAAGTCGCCGACGGAGGCACGAGATGAGAGGGGCGCGCGCACGGCGCGAGCGGCGGGCGTGCGGGCGGGATGGCGCTGGCGGGCGGGCGCCACAACCACAATGCTCGGCCCTTGTAGGTTTCGCGTCGTAGTGATATCTGGAAATGATAAGAAATGAATATTCTCATCCCTAAACGCGCCTTAACCCCCCCGCCCCGTGCGCTATTTTAATACCTTCATGTTTTTATATTTTTTTATACTTTTATAATTTATATACTTTTTATACTTGCACTTTTATTTGTTTTTTTTGCGGAGAGTCACTACACAACGGGAGTGGCTGATCGCGTTTTAAAAATGCTGAACTGCGTCTTATGCCTCTGCCAATAATGCCACTGAAGAGAAGAACAAGAGAGAAGAGGGTGCGGGGCGGCGGCGGGCGGTCGGGGCATACTTGATAAGCATACTTGCACAAACTTCAAAACTAACCCTAACTTTACGTTGAAAGGAGCAAATCTGCGCACAGGACATTCAATACAAGTGCATGGCGTGCAGTGTCAGCAAGGCCGGAATCCGCTGGTGGCCGGATATACACTTGCTGCTACCATAGCACGGAGAGTACTACTCGATTTCAGACGAAGTAGTAAGCATCATGCGTCAAGCTGACCAAATTCTGCACGGGGGTGTGATAAGACCAAATGTAAGCTGACACGGGCTATCGGACTCCATTACCCTCAATGCGGTGTACTCTGTTATGTACATTCCTCCTCTTTCTTCTCCTCCCTTTTCTACTTTCCCCATGTTCGTGTCAAACATTATATGTGTTGTGCTTGTTTAGGCTGCAGTGGGTTAGCCTATAGGGGGTACACAATTCTAGGGTTAGGTACTTGTACTCATTTTACTGCTAGTTCACCATTCCTCGTTCAGTTCTTCTGACATGGTTTCAGAGCAGGTCCTTCGCTAGGACCTAAGTTTTTTTTTCGGGCCCACCTCTACTAACTGCTTCCTAGCGCCTTAGTGCGCCCTACTGTCGGAGTGCTGCGTTAGCGCCTCCCCCTCAGCGCCCTCGTGCGCCCTCGTGTACGGCCCCTTAAGGCCCCGTCGACCCCGCACGCTGCCCCTTAGTGGCCCCGTCGCACCCGCGCGCGCCCCGATTCCGGCCCGCTTGGCCCCGTCGACCCCGCACGCACCCCGTTTAGCGGCCCCGGGCCCCCGTCGACCCACACCTAGAGGCCCCGCGGCCCCATGCGCACCCCGTGTAACGGCCCCGCCCCGCGGCCCCGTCGACCCACACCTAGAGGCCCCGCGGCCCCGCGCGCACCCCGTTAGCGGCGGCCCCGCCCGCCCCGTCGAACCCAGCCTAGAGGCCCCGCGGCCCCGTCGCCCGCCACCACACGGCCCCTCGACCCCGCTGCGCCCCGCTTAGCGGCCCCACGGCCCCGTCGAGCCCCGCTTAGAGGCCCCCCGCGGCCCCGTACTGCCCCGCTTAACAGCTCCGCGCAGCCGCGCAAACCCGAACCGAGCCGCGCCGCCCTACCTGAACCGAGCCGCGCCGCCCGTACCAGCAGCCCCGTCGATACTGCTGCTCCTCCTATTTCTTCTACGGCTACTACTACTGCTCCTACTGCTACTACTGCTGCCACTATGGCCAGTCCTCCCGTGCTTGCTTTCGATGCTGAGGGCCGCCCAGTGAAATTTGACACCTGGCTAGATGACCTGCACCTCTTCCTACAGCTCACTGCCAAGGAGGATATTTCGCTGTACGATCATGCCCTCGGTCACGCTACTGCCCCTCCTACCACTGCAGACAGCACTCAGCGCTCACAGTGGCAGACTCGTGACGCCCACGCTCGCTTCGCTATTCGCAACTCCCTGCCACTAGATGAGCGCGAGCACTTTGGCCAGCACAAGACTGCTAAGGACCTGTACACTGCTGTTGTTGCTCGTTACTCCTCACCTGCCTCTGCCGCACTAGGCCGCCTCACCCTCCCCTACCTGTTCCCCGACCTGGCCTCCTTCAGCACAGTCGCTGACCTCATCACCCACCTCAGGACCAGTGAGGCCCGCTTTCGCGCTGCTATGCCTGACGAGTTCCTTGCCAGCAACCCCCCCCGCTCTGGATCACGCTCTACCACATCGTCACCCGCCTCCCTGACTCTCTGCGCGCAGTCAGGGATCACTTCCTCGCTCGCTCTCCCACTGAGCTCACCATTGCCCTCCTCGAGAAGGAATTGCTTGCAGCTGAGGCGAGCATCGTCGCTGTAGGCACCTCTCGTGGCGACCCTCGCACCCCGTTCTTTGAGGGGTGTTCCCCTTCCCCTCTCCTCCCCTCTGTCGCCTCTGCTGCTGCTGTCGACCTCCTTGGTGCTGAGAAGGTCGGGGCCGCGTCTGCTCCGAGCGGGCGCCGCAGGGGCAAAGGGGGCAAGGGTGGAGGTGGCGGCGGGGGAGGCGGGAGTGGTGGCGGTGGGGGTGGCGGTGGGACTGGAGAGGCTAGTGGCGGCAGTGGGGGTGGTGACAGCAGCGGCGGGAGCGGTGGCAGGGGCGGAGGCGGCAGCGGAGGCGGAGGTGGTCGTGGCGGCGGCAGGGGTGGAGGTGGCCGGGGCGGTGGCGGCGGCGGTGGTGGTCGTGGAGGCGCTGGCGGTGGCCAGAGTCAGCAGCCCGCCCCGTCGCTTCAGGCCGCCCGTGAGTGGTATGCGCAGCGTGGCTTTACCTGCACGTACGTCATTCGCACTGGTGACCGCACTGGCCAGCAGTGTGGGAGGCCGCATCCCACACAGCGCTGTTTCGCGCGCCTTACTGACGCGTGGCGTGCCCAGTTTCCTGATGCCACTGAGCTGCCCCGCTGGGCTGATCTGGAGAAGAAGGGAGTTGATATCTGGGCTTTAGACTTTGATGCTATTCTCACTGCCATGTATGCGATGTTTACTAGTGGAGAGGGTGCTCAGTACTTGCGTGTTCCGCCCGACCCGGGCATTCTGACCAGTCCGGCTGCCGCTCTAGGTGCTAGTGAGTCTGCTGCCCCAGGTCCTGGTGAGGCTGCTGCTCTAGGTGCTAGTGAGTCCGTGCCCTCTGGTACTGAGTCGACTGCAGCACTGCACACCTTCATTCTTATCGTGGCGTGTTCGGTCTTACGAGGAACTAGCTGTGTTTTCAAGCTGGTGCGGTGATTCTCTCTACATGATTAGTCATCCTGCCATTATGTACAACTGATTTCTTTAGAACCTTGTCGCGGTGCGCGTTGTGCAGTTCATGTATCACCACCTATCTCCTGCTTCTCATCCCTCAACAACCTTTCACGCCTCAAATCCAGCTGTCTGCGTCACCACACATGCCCTGTTTCTCAAGAACCGGCAGGGGGGGTGTGAGTGCGGGGATTTTCAACATCTATCCAGCCTCCTTTACCTCCTATGGTTCGCCCATCTCTCCACCTTCGCCCCCCCCCTAGAATCGTCATACAGCGGGCGCGCGGGACGCGGGGGCGCAAACATTTCCTCCTAGGACGCCAATTCCCAATTCCTTTTTCTCCTCACCCAATTCCTTTTCCTCCTCCAATTTTTTTTCCACCTCCAATTTCTTCTCCTTTTCCTCCTCATTCTTCTTCCTCCTCTTATTCTTTTTTCTTCTCCTCTCCAATCCTCCAACCCCTTTTTCTCCTCCCCCAATTATTCTTCCCCCCTCCTTCGATGCCTCTCCTTTTCCTCCCCCTCCAATTCTACCGTCGTCGAGCGACCAGCGACCTCGCGCGACCAGCGACCTCGCGCGACCAGCGACCTCGCGCGACCAGCGACCTCGCGCGACCAGCGACCTCGCGCGACCAGCGACCTCGCGCGACCAGCGACCTCGCGCGACCTGCGACCTCGCGCGACCTGCGACCTCGCGCGACCTGCGACCTCGCGCGACCTGCGACCTCGCGCGACCTGCGACCCGTCGCCGACCTGCGACCTCGCGCGACCTGCGACCTCGCGCGACCTGCGACCTCGCGCGACCTGCGACCTCGCGCGACCTGCGACCTCGCGCGACCTGCGCCCTTGCGCGACCTGCGACCTCGCGCGACCTGCGACCTCGCGCGACCGCCCTCGCGCGACCTGCGACCTCACGCGATCTGCAAGGTTGTTGCCAAATGCTGCTCGCCGCGTCCTCGTCGTCCTCGTATCTTCTAGAGACCATCACAACCCTTTATATTTCTACATATTTTTTTACCTTTGTACTTATAATTTCATACAATTTATACTTTTGTACATTTTATACTTTTATATTAAAGTATACAACGTATATATTTTATATTGAAAAATAAAAGTATAAAGATATAAACGTATAAATATTATAAAGTATAAAAAATATTGTTGCCACCCTGTCCGATGTACCAAATGCTGCTCGCCGCGTCCTCGTCGTCCTCGTATCTTCCAGAGACCACCACAGCCTTATTATTATCGCGTCCTCGATGTCCTCGTATCATCAGAAGACTGTTGCCACGGCTGCGGCCTTATTGCCACATCCATTACAGTTCGTGTCTCCGCATTGCCAAAATGCATTATCAAATAATTACAAATTATCAAAACACATTCACGTTCACAACCACAATTCTCAGCCCTTGTAAGATTCTCGTCGTATTGAAATTTGAAAACGATAAAAACTGAATATTTGCGTCGCTGAATGCGCCCAAAAACCCCCGGCCCGTGCGATGTCGCAACTGTCGGCAACAGTCGGCACGTCACCCGCCGAACGCTTACATGACGCCGAAGCACCGCTCCCACCTGTCAGAGGTCCACTGGTGATCCCCGATTGATCCTCTGACACACCCGCTCATGTCCACCACCTTTTTTGTCTTGTCCCTCACCTCGTCTGCATAGTAGCGCGCGCTTTGGGTGGGAGGAAGAAGGGGAGAAGGGGGGAGAGGGCGAGGAGAGGGAAAAGGAGTGAAAAGAGGGGGTACAAAGTCGAGACGGCGTGGGTGAGCAGCGAGAGGAGTGAGAAAGTGAAGGGGAGAGAATGTGAGATATGCCGATGGGCTGGAGGTGGGTGACATGGGTGAAGGTGAACGACCTTGCTGACCCTGCACTCCATGCACTTGTATTGATCGGCTCCTTTCACCGTTAAAGCTAGGGTTGAAGTTCGTGCAAATATGCTTATTAAGTATGCATGCAGCGCAACTAGTAGTGGATGGGCGTACACGATGGATGACACTCATACGAATGTCTTCTTGAGGACGGTAGAGATGGAGGACGGCCACATCGACCATAATGACTCCTTCAACAACAGCTTCCTGCGCTTACGCAAGCAGAGCAACACGCGGAACGCATGCACGGTTCGCTGGCGGACGGACGGGCGGTCGCGGGCGGGCGGAGGGCTACAGTACAAGGAACGCTCCCAACTGTGCGCCTGCTTTCGCCCCTAGGTACACTCGCGCCCCGCGCCCAGTGCCCCGTGCACCGCGCCCGTGGCTCCCCCCCCACGCCCGTCGAAAACGAGGAAGAAAACAGAGAACGAGGCCGAAGGCATGGTGGCGAGAGTGAAACGAATTTTCCGTCTGCACTGATTTTTTCCCGCACCAGCTCGTCCGTGCTACGAAAACAGACCCACTTTCTAGGACACCCTACTAAAGTACCACTACTACTTAGTACCACTACTACTACCGCGTCATCAACTCTCTTCAAGCTCTCTTTGCCGTCACCAGCTCCCTTCAAGCTGTCTTTGCCGTCACCACCTCTCTCTTCAAGCTCTCTTTGCCATAACCACCCCCTTCTTCCCCACATTTGACGCTGTTCTAACATTCAGAAGGAGTTAGACGTGGAGGAAAATGAATTGGAGGAAAAAGAGAAGGCATTGGGGAGGAGAAAAAAGAATTGGAGGATAAAGAGGAGGAGAAATGGAATTAGAGGAAGAAGAGGAGAAAGAGTAGGAGAAAGGGAGGAAAGTGAAAGGGAGAAAGAGCAAGAGAAAGAGAGAGAGAGAGAAAGATGAGGATAATTGGGAGGTGGAGAAAGAGGAAGCGAATGAGGGGAAATGTGGAAGAGAAACAGGCAGAGGAGAAAGAGGAGGAGAAAATAAAGGGGAAATAAGAGGAGAAGAAAATACGCATAAACGACACCCTGGACGTCCAGATGGCGTCCTGGGAGGAAATTGTTTCCGCCCCCACGTCCGCGCGCCCGCTGGATGACGATTCTAGTGAGGGGCAAAGGTAGAGAGGTGGGCGAACCGTAGGAGATGAAAGATGCTGGACAGATGTTGAAAATTTCCGCACCCGTTTGAGCAAGACACACATCACAGAAAAGCAATTCTCGTCTCGAGAATTTGGCTTGGTCCAAACGTGTTCGAGTTCGATCATTGTTCTGTCTAATCACAAAGTTTATGCATTTCTCGGTTGAGAAGTACGCAAGGTAAAATGTAGTAACAATATTCATCGAACATCATCGACATGACCAGCATTGACCCGGCCCAAAACTTCTCCACCCCATCATAGGCACTGGTAAGTCAGGTCGACTCGCAATCGGGCCGGAGGACAACTGATCCGATCCGGGCTTAGAGGGTAAGTTGGACCTCCTACCTGCGCGGAGTGGCAATTTCGATCACCAATCTGCACGGATCAACACATGTTGACCGTCGACCTGAGATCATGATCGCCGATCTACAAAGATAGGGCACCTCAACGATTCATCCTCGCATATAACTGCCCAAGTCGGGTCATAGGGCGACCGAAACTGGTGGGTCGAAAAGGACCCGACAATTACGAGTCAATCGGGTCTCGGGTCGATATGGCCGAGCGGGGTCGTTGCACTGATGAATCAACCTGGCCAGCAATATCGCTCGGGTGAAGCCATGGCTCTATATTGAGCACCAAAGACGGGATGGATTGTACCTATGCAAGTGTTCTCCATACAACAAGCTTACTTGCTAACCACAAGCCAGGATACATCATCCCACATCACTTTACTCCTTGCTATCTAGCCTTACGAATACAGAAAGTAAACAACTCACTGCACATCCCCAGAATTTCTATTTTCAGCCTTCAGCCATTTTCTGCCTTAAGAAACGGCTATTGGACTGGTCCGCCTTGACCCGGAGACAGCCTAGCCTTATACAAAGGGGCCAGCAAGCCAGCCCAGGTCATCCGGCCCAAGCCAGGACCACATTTAAGGCTCCAGACTGGCTCAGGACCAGGCCGACGCCGTGCTCCATTGCACTTTGCCGCCCAAGATAACAAATTAACTCTCCAGATTCTGTTAATTAGTATGGTTCACACACAATCCTGTCATATGAACATTAGCCGGCTTCATTGAAACTTGACTGGGCAAAAAACTTCCGTTTTCAAGCACCCACAAGAATCAATTGACAATAACAAAATTGTGCGTGCACATGGGGAAAGGGTGAAACCTGGTCAATCGTGAGAGGCGGCTGGTTGGGGTTACGAACGAGAAGGAACTTGTGGACAAGGAACCTTGTTTGCCAACCACATACTTATGTTGCTTCACCTATTGCGGTTACGGGGATTAAAACAAAAAAGAAAAGGAAAAAGAAACAAAAGAAAGAAACATGCATCAGGCATAAAATGGTGTAGTGATGCCTACACTTGATCTAAAACTATTAAAGATAAGCCAATCAACAACAAAGTGGGGTGAGAGAGTCTGAAGACGACTCGGGCTGATCCATGTGAACCCAATAGACGCAGGGTGTTTGAAATGGGGATGCACGCCAGCCTGGGTCGAACCAGGTCGGGCCAGCAACTGAGTAAGGCCAGATCCAAACCGGCCCCGATTGGGAATGGTAAGATGGTGACATTCCAAGGTGTTCCACATGAACGGCACCTGTCCCTTGCTAAGGGCGGGGTCAGCGCGTTCCTTTATAGCCCATAACAGTTCATTTTGAGCGGTTACTCTCGTTTCGTCACGGTTTAACGGTTTATTTTAGCGGTTCAAACTTGCGCTTAAACTTGCGACTAAAACCGCCTTAAACCATTTGAAATCGTTATGCACCACGACGGATGAACTGTACAGTCATGCAAAATGAACGTGCTGACCCCGCCCTAACGTGGACCCGAAGCATTCATATAACCTCTTAAAGCGGGACGCACCTTATAGAGCCCATCGTATGTGAAGGCCTGTCCGACGATAGACTTCTTGCTTTTGTGCCCTCGAATGACCCGCACATCATTCTTCACATTGATGCTATT